TTTCAATTGTAATGAAATAATTTTTTCATTATTGATTTTTGGAAGAATTATTTTAATAAATTGACCAAAGGGAATGGATAATTGAAATTTTGATTGAATATTATTTTGTAATAGAAAAAGAATACGAATCGAAAATGCGGAAATCGCATCATTTATTGAGAGATATCGAGCTATTTCAAATATAACGTCCCAACAAAGACCAGTTTTTTTAACGAAATTAAATGACTAAAACAAATACTTTTTATTAAAAAGTCAATTTAAAAAAAAAACACTCACTAAATTTTGTTCATTTTCATCGAATTTCTCTTTGAAAATAGTCAATTCATTGAATAAAATGTCGTGATTAACAATCATTTTAGTACGTGCCGAAACATTAGCTTTAACTAATGTTTCATATTGATATTTAGATACTGTTAATTCATTTGTTTCGTATTCATATTTTCTCGTAATTCCAATAAGAGAAGGACATTTTTCAATTGAAAATTTATCAGTGAATCGAGCAGAAAACACTTCTTCCCAAATATTTTCTAGCCTAAGTTTAAAATACACTCGAAATTTTTGTATCCAAATAGTACATGTCATTTACGTATGAATATCCGAATTGGAAATAGCTTCCAATGTCCAAACAACATAATTCATATTTAAATAATTAACAATGGCCGATGAATTAAACATAGTTTCACAAAATTTCTTTTTAAATAGATTCCCATCATTATGTATGTAAATGAGAATAGGACGACGCTGATATATAAAACATCGATGTGATTTATACAATAAGAAAAAACTTATATATACTAACTTCTTGAATTATAGTTGAACTAAAAGCTGCTTGACATGCATCTCTAAGAGAGCCCGGGAAAAACATAAGATAACTGTCGAGATAATGTTCGCAGCATTGCAAAGATGGATTAATATCTTGAAAGGCATGTTCACATTGGTGTTGCGCTTTAAAATAATAAAGTCATAAATAAAATCTATATTTTCTTTTATAGCTCAAAAATATATGAAGATAGATTGGTTCTCTCATCATCAAATACTGATTATTTCAAGAGCAAGGATTGTGCGAGCCCGAATTTGTTTTTCTAGTAACAGTAAATTTCTATCGTGAAAGAAAAAGAATTTTTCTTAACCTACATACTTTAATATCAAATTCTCATACGATAACTAAAATCGGTACAGAATTAAGAAAGTTTTTTTCTAAAGATTTTTTTCCAACGAAATTCATCTCTAGAATTTCGTACACAACGTTTCTTTTGGTGAAAGTTCTGATTTCATAACGAAAAAAGAAATATATCAAGCTAAAAACTTCGAATCTATAATTTGTTCTTTTATCTGTTTGGTAAATTACACATATACTCGAATATTTTTAGGAAAAAAGGGATCAAAGTTTACGTGAAACATAGTCTCGAAAAAAAATCGTTCTTCAAGATTTGATTCTAATCACATTTCAAACTATATGGTTAGAAGACAGATTGCAATTATCAAATTGTAATGAATCTTTATTATTGCATATTTGAAATCTTTTCATAGCTTTGAATCGAAACCGTGATCTGGAATTTCTGACTTTGGTGTGCAATAAATCAAAAAAAAATACTTACGAATAATGGCATCGATGAATAGGGCATCATAATAAAAAGTATCATCGTCAGTTTCGTCTTCATTGGAATCCTAGAGAGAAAATGAAAAAAACAACTCAGTAAGATTCAATTCTATTAAAAACGAAGGAATCAAAGCATGTCATCTATTTACATGGAAAATTTACTTACATTATCGACTGTTTGTTCGATTGTTTCAGTCACAATTGGCTCTAGTTCCGACATCTTTTGTCCGTGAACGGGAAAATTGTTTGATATATCTGAAAAAGAATTTTGTTTATATATTAATAGAATAAAGGAAGAAAAGCAACTTTTTTGCATGAGAAAATTAAGGAGAAAAACTAAATATAAAAGACGATATGATATCTCTATTCTTTCTCCTTTATGTTTCACAATATCCAAGTATCTAAATACCAATACACATTTTTTTTCTTTGCAAACTATATTTGATTTCTTTCTTTCGTCTTGCACGCGTACGCGTAACATATATGATACGAACGGAAAAACCATATTTTTATATACTCTCCACTATGGGCATTGCTATTGATTACTATGCTCGAAAACGTTTACAAAGAGAAGAAATTAAGTTTTAGCAGTATAATATACTAGTGTCTTCTGCTCATAGGTTAGGATTGGGATAATTTATACACATGTTTTTCCATAGCATTAGAACTATACTATTTTGAGCCTCTGCGATATGAAAAAGAAGGCACTCTAGACAAGTGCACGTACATATACGCCCATCGCACCTACCTTATTAGGATTCATACTTGCAAATTTTGAAATCTGAAAAAAAATTGAATTATACAAAGAAAATCGAATGAATAAAAATGGCAAAAAAGTTGTCTTTCACAATTTCTACTCCTTACTCAGATTTTACTTCTTTAACAAACTGGTTTTCGTAGCATCTCCTTGATACCAAAAATTACTAAGAAGTTGATAAAATTTTATTTTATGCATAACAATGATGGGATCGATTCGGTTCGAAACTTTTTCCGTTCGATTCGGTTCGGTTACGAAGTATTCGTAACCGATTTCCATTCAAATATATATTTAAATATATTCAACTTTGTTAGGATGCTCTAAAATACATCTTTATTTCTTATTCTTTTGTCCTATTATTTCTCTCTCCCTCTTGTCTCTCCTACTTTCCTATTCGGCCGTCACAATTTTAATAAATTATCACTCTTTTCTTCTGTTCTAAATGTAAAGGCATTCCAATAAAAGAACACATTGGACGTCATCTTCTTTATATAAAATGGTCTAGGCTGGAGTAGAGGATATTTATTCATCTCTCTCCTTGTATTTCACTTGTATATTTCTCTCTCTCTTATATATGAAAATACATGTATATGTAAAAGAAAAAAGAAAAGGAAAGATAATAATTTGAATAAAATTGAATTTCGGCTGAATTGAACCGAAGATCTTACAAACATCAAGTTTCATTACAGAGAAAGGGATCTGTAACAAATATATATACTAAGAATGGATAAAGAAAGTGTAGCAAATTTCTTATTTTTACTCGACTACTCATTAGTTTCAGTCAGTGCGTCCTTTTACAGACTGCATTTCCGTATGAAGTACTCATATATATATAAGTATCCATTAATTATCGTGCTGTAATAATTCTTAGTTGATAACGATAACATTACTTTCTTTTTAAGATTCAAGGAATATATAATCATGAACATTTAAGTTAAGAAAATATCACCTAAATGATATTTCGAAATAGATCGATAAGCAAAGCCTAAAAGTATCATTGGAATTGTCCATTTTCAAATTATGGGTAGACTATTTGTTAGGGTCCTTTACCCGTTTTCTTTATTATTCTTATTCCTTTCTTTTCAAAACCAAACAGGCGAATGAATCAAAAAACAAAAAGCAGCAAAGAATGTGATTCTCTCTCTGTCTCTTATTCCATTCTTTATCTTTCTTTATCCATGGTGAGAATACCATTGAGAAAGAAGAGTAAGAATGCCATTGATGTGCAGTGATGACATCACAAGAGAATAGGTAGAGCTTCCTTATGTCAGGAGAGACATCTCCTGACATAACACTATTTCTCTCAATTTTAGGTTTTCTTTGTCATGTAAATCTTGTAAGTTGAGAGTAAAACTGGATTTAATAAGGTGGTAAATACTTATTATAAAGTATTACTTAATATTGTTCTATTAAAACGGGTGTATCATATAAAATGTAGATCCTATATATCTGCACTGAGCGACGACAAAAAATACCTTGAACGGCTTTTGATTAGCGGAATAAATCGACTAACTACTGAAAACAAACTAGTCTTCTATCATCCGAAATCTCTTTTATTCTGAAAACGAAAATACCCATGTTCTTAACATTATTTCTACTACTAATTTCTAGTTCGTTTTTAAAATTATTAATGACGTTTTAAGCATGTCTTCAATAAAGGTTTTTAGAGGAATATTCTTAGAAAAAAATAAAAATTTTTAAACCTTTATCTTAAGTTTCGAATTCGGTTCGATTCCAAAAAACCACGAATCGATCCCATCACTGGTCCACACTCTATGTTATCTACAATTCGAGCTCTATCTTCCAATCACAGCGATGATAGTTCGAGGTTTTCTGGGGTGGAGAACTCGAATCTATGTTCCATTTCCCTCGAAATCTCATTAGTTTAGCAGTAATCAATAGAAATCAAGTGTTTATAGGCAAGGTTTACCAGGATAATTTTTATGTCCACACATTCTAAGATGACTCATCTGACTCATTCACTTTTTGAAGTACACATAACTCTCGGATTTAAATCCAAAGTTTCCACATTTATTTATTATTATTTTTTATCTTTAAACCATTTTCAGGCAAAAACCTTGATGATATGCAATACATTTTTGTTGACCTTCCAACCTATACCGACGCTCAATTGACAAGCATTCCTTTCAATATTGATCTAAACGTTACGAAGAGGAAAAAAGCGAAGGGCAATAAGTTTGTTGATAGACAGTTGATTCATAGAAGTGAGACGAATGAGAAGAAAAAAAAACCAATTTCATTGAAAATAAAAGTATTGATTCAATACAAGCTACTATAATTGTAACATTTACAATTAACGATAGATAGTTAATTTATTTATATAAATAACAGTTAAGTTTGTATTCTTACAATTCAGAAATGAACCATGCCTGTTCGAACTTATCTAATTAATCGATTGACTGATGCAATATACCGACTTAATGGTATCGAGCCATCACATCGAATGCCACATAAAGAAGATTTACGACAGTCATTTTCCGATCATGTTTTATTCAGTTCAGACCAACTTCCACCTAAAGTTGATCTTCAACCTTATATGACAACTGTTGAAGATCAATCAAGAATCGGTAGCTGGTAAGAAATATTTTGACAAAAACTATTTTATTATTTGATATTTGTTCTTTTTTTTCATTTCGTACAGCAAATTCACTTGCGGGTACAAAAAAATACGCTTTTTAATTAAGACTTATTTATTCTCTTTCTTTTCATAGGAGCTTATGAATATTTAATAAAAAAAGTTCATGGTACCAATGTTGATGTGAGCTTTTGATTTATTTAGTATAATGGACGTGTTAAGAATACACATTTGCCTATTGTAACTGACTACCGTTGTTCAATAACAAATGCTATTGAAGCATTAGAAGAATTTGATACATGTCTCGAATCGATTTGGCCGTATGACATATCACGTGTTAATAAATGTCCTAGTATTCAAGCTTTTGAGAAAGGACTAAAGCATAGGATACATCAAGCACTTCACGTTAAAATTGATTTGAATGAAATGAAATCATGTCTTGCACAAGGTTTTCCATTTGCGTTTGGTTTACGACTTTATACATCATTTGATTAGGCAGTTAAAACTGATATTGTACCAATGCCAAATGAAGCAGAACAAGGTCGAACTGAACATGGCAGATCTGATTATAATTTCCAGAAAAAAAAAATCAAGAGTAATAGATTGATTTTTCAATATAGACATGCATTGTTAGCTATTGGTTATAGTGACCGATCAAAGACATTTATTGTTCGAAATTCATGGGGAAAAAATGGGTCAATACGAATTTGTTCTTATGCATTACCTTCATTTGTTTATATTTTATGGCGATAAAGGATATTGTTACATTCCTTATGATTATGTAGCTAATCCGAAATTATGTTTTGATGCATGGGTTATTCGTCAATTCGATAATGATGACATGAATAATGAACATTGGCATTTTACTGACGCTATTGATTTTCTATTCAAAGCAATGCACAATGATAATCATGATCATCTTGAAATTCAAGAGATTGAAGAACATGATGTACATAAATAGAATGAAAATACTGAGTACGTCTAGCAGTAGTTCAGAAGATTAACCAATTAGTTTTGAATGGTGAAATGGACTTAGCGAATGAGAACTAATATCCATTTTAAAATAAAAGAGCCCTGAGTATTTTTTGAATAACTTTTGATAGGAAAGAGATCGAGAGCTGCGGTTTTCACCATTCGAAAGAGCGATGTCCAAGCCGTCGATCGGTATAGAACTCATAAAGATAAAAGATGGCATTTTTTTATTGGGATCTTCTGATCAACATTTTTTCTTTGCATATTTTCATCAATTTTCACAATAATCTCAACTCAAATTATGTCAAAATGTAGCTCGAATCACACTTTTTTCGTTATAAAATTAACAATTGGTTTTTTTACATCCAAATACAATAAGAAGTTGAGAGATAATGAAAACCGTCATAAATTTATAGCAAAAAAAGTGTGACTCAAGCTACATTTTGACGTAATTTGAGGTGAGCTTATTGTGAAAATTGATGAAAATATGCAAAGGAAAAAATGTTGATCAGAAGATGCCTATTAAAAAAAAACCATCTTTTATCTTTATGAGTTCTATACCGATTGACGGCTTGGACATAGCTCTTTCGAATGGTGAAAACCGCAGCTCTCGATCTCTTTCCTATCAAAAGTTATTCAAAAAATGCTCAGGGCTCTTCTATTTTGAAATGGAATTCAGTTAACTCTGTGGGTCTATAAGGATCCTCTACTACATGTTGAATTTCGATTTAGATTTTAAACCTCTAAACGAAATCTAATTGCATGGTTGGAAAGAGTACATCAAGTTGTATTTAGAATGTACAAAAGCTAATCTAAAACATCTCTCCTACAGAAGGTAATTGAACATCCAAAACATTGCCAAGTTACAACAAACAGGTAGAAATGACTATGATATGTGAAATGTCATCTGTAGAACACTGAAAAGAACATAACAGAACTTTGGAATATTCATAGTGATATACATACCAACTACTACCGAGAGTATACTAAAATTCCGTTTTATTTCCTTTTGGTGTCCTACAGATGACATTTCACATATCATAGTCATTTCTACCTGTTTTTTGTAACTTGGCAATGTTTTGGATGTTCAATTACCTTCTATAGGAGAGATGTTTTAGATTACCATTTGTACATTCTAAATACAACTTGATGTACTCTTTCCAACCATGCTATTAGATTTCGTTTAGAGATTTAAAATCCAACTCGAAATTCAACATGTAGTAGAGGATCCTTATAGACCCCCAGAGTTAACTAGTATTATTGAATAAAAACCTCCTACATTTCGATTCTAATGGCATTATTCCAACAAATTTTGTTCATTCCCATAGGTCACCATCGATTTGGCTTATAGAAACTTTTTTCTCGATAGAGTTTGACTCAAAACTGATGAAACTTCAGAAAATGTCTCAAGTCTAGAGGTTCTGATACGGAAACAATTCGAATATGGGTTCGATTACAATAGGAAAGCTTGGAAACAGTTACTATTACAACAGAACGTTAGAAATCATGCTTCACTGATAGTTTATAAAAGGCTCGATACACTTAAACAGAAGAAAAAACCACTTCCACAAAGAGAGCCTATAGTTATGTTACAGCACTTTTCGTTTTCTATTAATTTCTGCATATGCATAGAAGAAGGAGAAGTATGACAACCAAGGTTCAGCATACCACATACACTCATCTTTCTAACGCACATATCAATTAAACAATCAAATCCCTTTTTGTAAATAAAATATTGATTTTTTTATATTTTCCGCAGGGGAACTTAAAATTTTGTTACAACCTGTACATCGGCGTATATAGGGGGAGATCTGTGACGAGATGATATCATCTGAATAAAGAAACCAGGGAATGGATATCAAGAATACATAAGAACAAGAAAGACAACATATATCGAAGGAAAGAGATGATGTGTCATACGGCGAAAGAAGTCGAGAGAGACGAAAAGAAGAGAAGAAACGAAAGAACGTGTGAGAGGCTAGGCCTGTAACATTGGTGAATGTTTTAATTTGGTAGAATAGCGTTCTGCGGTGCTTGTCCACGACGGATTCGCTAGAGTAAACGACTGAAGCAGGGTAACCAAAAGATGAATTTGAGTACAATAGTTATAATGGGAAAGAATAAGCATAATAAGTCAAGACCGAAGAGCGATTGGACCAGTCCTACTCTAATCCAGTATGGTATAGCCATCACTAGAACATGTCCAATAGCAAACAATAATGTCACCGTACCGAGTTTTGATTGTACAAAGCGCCATTCTCGCCAATTTAATCGATTACCAATCGCAGGAATACTCGTTATAGTCAAAATGGACATGCACAACAGAGCTAAAATACCTAAGAGAAATGCCAATTCACCCTTCGCAGTCATCAGACTACTTCCTACGACAATTTGTGTCTGATTATGAACGGTCAAAACTAACACTTCTATTGGATGAAATCATGAAGAGTAATAAGCAGGTGAGACAAGAATGATTATTATAATACAGTGACCAAGAGCTATAGCAAATGCTAATAGACCAAGTTGTTTTCTGCTTAATAGCCATCGATCTAACCATTTTGAAAATCGTCGATCTCGAGTTCCATAAGCCAATTGAAATATACATGCAAAGTTCGAGGGCATAAAGACAATAGCTAGCATGGTGATGGCACTTGGACATAAAATTTCATTGACCATGTGTAAAAATAGTTGATTCCATGAAGTTGTACGTGTACGAATATAATTCATGCAAAGTGTGTAAGTAAGCCAGATGATTAGAACGACAAATGTAACAATGATAGGAATTCGCCATTGAGGAAAGAGAGATTTGGTATCAGTTTCTAGATGACGTGCTACATGAATTGAACCGGCATTGAATGCATCGAAATTCATTTCACGTGCGAGTATGATTACCTTATCTTTAGCTATTGAATGATCACTCGCAACAAAGACATTAGATGATTCTCCTGCTGTGATACTTTGCATGGCAAATGATGAGATTGTATTGAATGCTTTGACAACAAAAGCATTGGATATTGCTGTTTGAAGTCGTTCTGCATTAGAAATATCGTTTAGATGCGATTTATCCAATGGTTCGTTAGATAGATCAATAAGAATTTTCCCTTCAAATAATGATGGATCGTGTTCGAGATGTGATATGAGAGAATTGATGTAGTGTTCTGGATGAAGAGCCACAAAGATCATTGGCGAACGACAAATACATTCGACAGTGGAGGCTATTTCGAATTCTCGATCATTATGCTTGTCTGGACAACGACTACTCATTAGTACAGTAAATCCATATAAGGATAAACGATGAGCAAGTGCAAAACCCATATTGCCACAACCAACGATACCGATACATCGATTCTCATGCATATTGCTACGTAGTCAAAGGAGATTCAATAACCTTTTCTTTCTTATGGGTCGCTCCGAGAAAAGAAAAAGATCGAAATGTCGAAAGAGAGAGCATGATGCATACAATATATCTTGATTTCATTCGTTATAGTTATAAAAAATCGACACATTATTGCATTCATTCAATATTCAATCATACAACACGGTTCTTTTCTTTTTGCCATAAATCGCTTTTCATTACGAAACCTTTGATTCTATTGATCCGAATTGTACTATTATGTGTTATTTGCTTTGGTATTTGATTCTTTCGAGATACTTCATGATTATTTCATTGTGACGATCGATTAGAATGAAATTTTCTCATCTAGAACTGCCTTCATTATCAATTTTTAGTTGCTTAGACAAAGATCATTCCTGGTAAGTACAATCATAAGAAAGACATGTTCTTGATATTGAAAAAGAGTTTGAAAGTGGTAGTACCCAAAAACTTGTTTTTAAAGTTGTAAAAAAAATTAGATTTTTTATTTCAAAAAGTGCGTATTTTAAGATGCTCAATGAGCCCTTTTCTACTTGAGATGCTTGGGTCTTTAGGTGACATCGTTAAAAAATTCGGAATTTTTTGGAGTCAAAAAAACTGACTCCGCAGGTCTCTACCTGCAAATAGTCCCAATGGATTCAACAAAAACTATTGTTTTCGAGCAACTAACTCACGAATTCAATCGTTTGAATTAAATATTCTGATTCAAATATAGTGATATTTTTATAACAGCAAGGAAAAATTTGTGGAACATACAAAACATTTTGTCATTCAATAAGAACAAGTTCTTCCCTTATTTTATTTTTGTCCGTAATATAACAATTTCGTAGCATGGAGGCTATTGGTTGAGGAAGGAAGAAAAAGAAAATTGTTATTCAGATACACAACAGTGCAATAGAAAGAAGAAACTGCGCTGTTTCCATCATGAATCATTTTTCATCGCTCTCATTTGTCTCTGTACATGTCTGTAAGTTATGCAATGCATATTTCATGCTATTTTTATTTATTTTCTTCTCAAAGCATCGTATTCGTTTATAGATATTGAAAAAGAAGTTCAACAACGAATTCGATTGAAGCTGTCTTCTAATTATGTTTGTAAACCAACTTGGAATGACCGTTGAATGAATCTCTACCGTTTTCTCGACTATGATGCTAGGTCTTCGAAAGCAGCTACGTCTGGATTGCTTAGATAGAGTCATTAGTTGTAAGGCATTGTACATATGCCTGGAGAGAGGAAATGCCAGAACATGCTTCACGATAATGTCTGATGTGCTTCATTTTAATTGGTGCGATAGAAATCACTGGAAATGGATAACGATGCTCAAGTAATCTCAGAAAAAATCAAAATCGAATTTATTTTGTCGAAAAACCCCTCGAGCTGACAAAAACGTTGGATATTCGGCCAGACTTCGCTCAAAAGCAACGTATATACTCCTGCCAAAGCGACGAAAATATCGGGTGGTCTATCAAGAATTACGCTGTTTGTATTTTTGAAATTTCTCTTCTATTATCCTTTTGATTAAGACACTTTTTTATCAAAAGATAGCGCTTGAAATTCTCTACAAAACTATATATGACTAGGCCTAAAACTGTTTTAGAGATATTTGAAAAAAGATGAAAACTACAGGCATATAAGCAACTGTAACAAGTGAATATGTGACCCATAATAAATGGCCGCACTGTGCATTTCATATTTTAATCTCTAAATACGTTTACTTAAAAAAAACAAAATATATCACAAAATGCAACGTGAAAAGCTCTACAATCTACAAACTAAAGTTCATTTTAATTGTATACTTTTTGTTTACAAAAAAAAGCAAAACTCTCTGCGACCAATTTTCGCCGTTGCGAAAGCTGACTGCACAGAATTTGGATTTTTTCTGAAAATAAAAAGTATACAAATAAAATAAATTGTTCTTTGTAAACTGTGTAGCTTTTCACGCTGTATCTTGTGGTATATTTTGTTTTTTTAAAGGAAATATATTAGGTGCTAAAAAGATAAAATAAGAAAAAGGGATTCTCGTTCGTGTGAAAAAATGATTTTTTCATCATAGTGAAAATTGGTCGTAGAGAGTTTCTTTTTTTTTGTGAAAAAAAAGTATACAATTAAAATGAACTTTAGTTTGTAGATTGCAGAGCTTTTCACGCTACATCTTGTGATATATTTTATTTTTTTAATAAAACGTATTTAGAGATTAAAATATGAAATGCAGATTGCGGCCATTTATTATAGGACACCGGTTATTTACTTTTTACAGCTACTTTTATGTCTTCAGTTTTCATCTTTTTTTTCAAATATATCTAAAACAGTTTTAGGCCTAGTCATATATGGTTTTGCAGAGAATTTCAAACGCTATCTTTTGATAAAAAAGTGTCTTAGTCAAAGGAATAATAGAGGAGAAATTTCAAAAATACAAACAGCGCAATTCTTTATGGGCCACCCGATATAATATATGGTGCAAAAGTCGTGGGTATGGGTGTGTGAATGTGGGTGTTGGTGATTGAAGAAGAAGAATCCATACCCACATCATTTATTCAAGAAATATTTCATCGTTTTCATTGAACATCAGTGAAAATTCATAAAATCTTTTTTAATATGAATTCAATTAAAATCCACGGAGAATTGAAAATAATCGATCTCGTATTTTATTGTGATTGCTATCAACTGATTTAGAACATGATTTCAAATGGCTGTCAAATAAAACTCTTTAAATAAACCGATTTCATTTCGTTTTATCAATCGTAACATTTGCATTAACCGATTTAACGCAACCCAAATAGAAAAAAAACATGAAATATAAGTGGATAAGTATAATGGAACTTCCATGTATGGAAGCATAAGTAAATATAGATTATTTCGATTGCTATTCTGCATGACAAAATAACATAAGGTATTGTTCTCATCGTTCATATATTTTATCGACCATGTTTTGTACTCTCCTTCAGGCAATCATTTTCAAAAAATGCAAGGTAGGATTCACACATATTTCTTGTCATGATCTATTTCACATATTCCGTTTACGCTCTGTATAGCTATGTCGATAGCCATCATTGTATTCTTACTAACTTTTTTATACATTCCTAACAATGCAACTGATAGAACTACTGATTCCATAATTTATGATAACCGTGTACACGCTTTTCTGAGAAAATTAACTCGTCAAAATGAAAATAGATCGAATCCAGCTATTCAAGGTTGTTCCTTCTTTGGTTATGATTTTTCATTTTTAAATCAAAATAATGGTACTGATTATGTTGGTACTGATGTTGGAGTTATTACGAATACATATAAAATGAATATATGTGGACCAGTCAATGATAATCGATGTCAATATTCATGGCGAATTCCAACTTCTGTTTGTTATATTTGTACCCGCGGCAATCCACATTGTCTAGGTAGTGTCACTTTGATTGGTTCATTTGGTGCTGATGGCGCTGGCGTGGCGTGGAATTTTATTGATCCTCGAAAACCGGGACTCGGTGTGACCATGACATATATTAATGGACAAAACCCATGTTTCTGTCCAGAAAGCCAGCATTGCTTACCATCAACTGTTGTCGCTTTACAATGTGCTGAGCAGACAGAACAGACTTTTCGTGTCTTTGTTAATACCAATACATGCGTTACTTATCTATATCTAAACATTAAATGTCCTAATTAAAACAACAAACCTATACGATAATCAGCAATGACAGAATTCTACTTAGAAATTTGGTTTTTATAACCGAAGTCAATCACAATTCTAATTTCATATCAGGATTATTCTACTTTTTGAAATGAGTTTTTCAGATAATCTAGATCACTGCTTGGAACAAACACAATAAAAAAATTTAGTCTAATACGTCTATACTTCTTCGAGAAAACTAAGATTCATTATACTAGTACTGTAAATGTTGTGCGAGTTTGTTCAGTAATACAATGAACATTACTTGAAATTGTATACTGCATGATTATGGATTGTGTGATATTCATTTGACCATTAAATTCTCTCATATTGATTTAATATTTTTGATCAGAATCATCAGTACATATATATTTGAATGAATAATTTAACACACGATCACAATGTTGAAGAAGAATTTATTGTTTAGTCAGGCCAATCATTTGTTATGAAGGCGGAAAAGGTAAAAGATTGTGTGAGCGTAGAATAATCAACTGTTCGTCGATTATGAGAAGGCAAAACTCGAATTGAATTTGAGTTCAATCTTATTCGATTCAGTGAATTAATGCTTCAATCACAGTCATGTTTTCTTTTGTGTTGCATATTGCATGTATGCCCATTTTTCGACATTGATTCACATACGATTAAGTTCTTCCATTCGATTACGAAAAAATAGTTTAACGCTTTTAGTTACAGAAAGAGTTTAACGCTTGAATTCGACGAATGTTCGTTAACCTCTTGGGGACAGGATTACTTTTAAGAAAAAAAAATTCAAAAAATTAAAACAATATTTTTGCTAGAACGAACATGAATCAGAGTACGCTACAGTGGGTAGTGTAGCACTACTTTGATGTTACAGATCCATGACCGACACTATCACTTTTGCCATTAGAGTGTCGTAAGAGACATTCTTGAGTAAAAGAGTGCTTGGATGAGAACTGAAGTCCATATATGTGCTTCCCGTTCCCAAGGAGTTAATATCCATCCTACAAATACGTAGATGACAGTTGAAATCAAGATAAAGCATTTTGAATTAGCTGTAACATAGTTTTTTTTTGCTTGTTATTAATAAGATGAAGCATAGACTTCAGTTATATATGTTAACACTAATCAATGATGATGGATATACTCAGTCAGAACACATTGTCTTTCCTGAAAGGAGATTATATCAAGAAAATAATCAAAAATACATGTTGTCTAGATAAAAATAAGTATTAGATATACAAAATCATGTCGTTTATTAAATGAGCACACAGAAAATAGAATATACGTTGTTTTCATTTATGCAACTGTTGCTTATGTCCGAGGTTTAGCAACATTGTCATCAATTAACGAATCTATCATGGCAAGTTATGTCGCTTTTTTTACCGACAGTTTGTATATTCGAAGATTTGAAATTAGCCGAAGAAAATTTTGTCAATATAATTAGTCAATACAAGTATTTTATATGTAATATTTAACGAAGCTGTAAAAAGTCAATTTGAAGATGATGCTTTTTAAATTTTCAACTATATTCTATTGTTTGGAAATCACCATCAACCAAAAGTACTTCCCCTAGAGAAAGTACTGAGTTCAGGGTACCCATGTACTGAGAAAGCCCTAGCAGGGTACTCAATATGGGTACTTCAAAAATTCTCAGTAATTATACTGATGTAGGTACTGCGTGTGGTTCCCATAAAAGTACGCTCACTGAACAAGTACTTGTATGGGTACTTGCATCTGTAATTTGACTGAGGAAAGGTATACAGGGTACCCTATATTTGTCGCGTTCTGTGTAGCGACTATTTATTCACCGTTTTCTTTTTCACGCACGGCTCCATATAAACAACTGGGTAAGACATAAGAAATTAATCTATTTTCTTACTAATTTTTTCTAGATTATTTCTTGACTATTTCTTAGTCGAGAACATGCCGATCTTGATCGTAGATCAAGAGCAGACTACTCCGAAGTGGTCTGATGGATACCTGACCAACTCAAGTCGGGTCAGATCCCGGCAGTGTGCCTGCTAATTTTTTGGAATTGAAAAAACTAAATTGAATAAAATCGAAAAAAAATGTAGTGAATTGCTTCGTGAGAAACAAAAATTAAAAAAAGTTAAAGTTCAGGTTCGATCCTGAACATGCTGAAATTTTTATACCAGGGTACCTAGAAATACTATACAGTGGTACCCAATTGAGTATCTGATCAGTATCTTCATGTACCCAGTTACTACACATTTTGTAGCAGGGTACTTGTCAAAGTACCACTTAGGTACCTGAAAGTACTTTCAAGTACTTTGGTATCCAAAAGTTCCTGTGACATACTGGTAACAGGATACTTTTTCGGGTACTCTTAACTCAGTACATTCTCTAGGGTCGTAACTATTCATTGAATAAATATCTTATTCGAGAAGATATCATTTCTGCATTAGAAAATGCAGTTAGTATGTCTGAATTTTCTAATCAAGTTTTAAAAGTATTTGAAAACATGGTTTATAATAATACGAATCATTAATGAAAACATTCTACATATTATTGCTAATAATCTTTATCTATCTAACGATAATAAACTATGTAACAAATCATTTCATCTGCTGCATATTAACAATAATAATCAAGATACATCGAATGAAATATTTGATATATTAGAAAAAGAAAGAACTAATCTTGTTATTAGTTCATTTTTACACAGATGTTCATGATGTTATCTCTTATTTACATGAAAAAAAAACTAAAGAGGATCCAAGATTAACACTCAATGGCTTTCGAGTGTTAACTTAAATGAAGAAATCTTAAGAATTTTATCGAATATTTCAAATAATTGATAAATGATATCTAATGATGGAATCAATAAACTTGTAAGAAGATTCGATTCTAAACAAGTACAACATCACTTAATTTAAATATTTGAAAATTCAATTAAAAATAATCAGAATATATGAACTTAGCTTTCATTAAAATTAGAACGAGAGAAATGGAAAATGCATTCATGTCTGATTAAATACTATTTATTTTTCTTCTTCAAGAACAAAAAAATAAAAATAAAAACTATTCGAAAACAATAATCTGTAAAATTTTAGATAAACTTTCAAGCATAGAAATCCCATTGATTATACATCAATGTTTTCCTGTCATTTGTTCAGTCATCGAAATAATGAATTGTAATATTTTGAATACAATTCTAATACTCGTTTTTATCGAATTTTTGGTACGAGTTTAATCCATCATGTTCAAAAGGCTTTAATTTATGCTCTTACGATAGATAATCAAGATATTTTTCTTCGAAATATTAACAAATTTAAAACATTTATATCAATTCATTAAGTTGAGCTGAAAAAATAAAAATAGAGAAGTTCTCCTAATTTTCACAACAACTATCATTTGTGATGAAAATATGAAACAGGAAATTAATATATTATTGTATACTTCGAAATTAGAAGAAGGTCACAAATATCCATATGAACTTGCTAATTTAAAGCGGAACTTAGGTGATCAATTACTAGATAAATTGATTGAATTTGATGAGACTCAATTATTTCAACAAAGCTTTGACTAAATCAATTGTATCATTAAACGATTGTTCAGAATTAATCAGCGGAGCTCTTAAAAATTTATAAAACGATCAAAATATTATGTTAACTATTGATGATAGTTGAAATTGCTGAGGTAGAAAGAAAAATTACAGACGCAATTTATATTACTCATTGTTGTTCAAGACAAAACCGAAGAACTACTAGATTATACTGAAATCAATTGCTAAGACACAAATGATTTCAGAAACATTAAAAGATCAAATGAAATTATTTGCGAAAATTGATCCTAGAATGAGTATCGATCTAATCATTTTTGGCAAATTTTCGTCTAAAAATGTAACAAAAATTACATAACAGTCAAATATTTTCTGATCTATATGTTGAAAAGTTATTTTCAATTCAAATTCCGAAGAATAATGAGCAAAATAATTTCAATGAAAATTTAGAACAAGAATTGATCGATATTTATGCCTTAATTTGATTGAAAAGTCCTGATTATTTTTTAAATTAAACAATCGTTGATAGCTCAGCAAAAAAAATGTCATTATATCTAAAACAATGAAGAAATTATCAAAAACACAATGTCAAACAAATCATTTTCTCAGTGTGTTAGACTTTTTCATAGACATTTTAGATAGGGATGACAAGTTTCATTCCGATATACTTGTGTATATTGCTCTGGCATTTGAAGCTATAGAAATTTTAAAATAAGAACCTTTGGAAAGCAATCATTTCTAATGATGATGAAAAATTTTGTCGTCAATCATTCCGAGGTTTAAGAGCAGCATAGGAAAGAGATTCTAAGCACATATGGACAATATGGTTCTGGGACCAGATGTGAGGTGTGGATTGAAAGGAAGAAACACTCATACTACTTACCCACACCCAAAGCCGCATACCCACACCAGAAAAAGAAATGTCGAAATAAAGATTTTTCAAAAACTTTCAGAAAACAAGTCATCAATAGAAAAACATATCGATCATATATAAAAACAGCGAAAAAAAGGATTTGGGTATGTGATTGTGAGTATGTAGATGTGGCTATCACTATATAGCTTTGCTATGGATAAGTGGTAGAGTGCTTTTTAATCTTTAACTCAAACTCTCAATAAATCATTAGCAAACTAGTATGTTTCACCTCTTCTATACAGGTAGAATGAGAAAGAAGCAGATCATATTGTATGAAAAAAAAGAGGGACAATGATTGATGAGAGTAGCGTTCCTAGGACAATACAATCAACTTACCCTAACATCTTGGTACAATAATTCCATAGCATTCAGTTTTTTTATAAAAAATAATATCTATTACTGACAACATTTAACTTTTGTAATAGCTAAATAACTATGAACAATAAAATAAAAGTTTTTGTCAAACTTGTTTATCTCAGTTGTTTATGTTGAGGTTTGAATAATATAGATAAAATTTGTTTACAGTGAAATATGTATATCCTTAGTATAGCTATTAATCTCAAGCTAACTTCAATGGAT